GGAAAGCTCTTTGGAAAGATTCTTTTTTAACAATCAGTAGCTCGTTTACTCCTCTACAAACTTTGCTCGAGACGCTTTTTATTAGCTCTTCTAAATTCGTAGCAAATTAGCTTTTAACGAGATGCATTTCGAATTTAGGGACTTTTTTGTCACAGGGTCACGCGCCGAAAAACGCTTTTAAAAGTTTGAGTCCTTAACCACACACCTTCATTTTTATACCAAAAGTAGAGTATGTCGAGCTGCGTCGAACGGCGCAAGGACGACGGTTCTAGCTTATACACTTTTTGAGGAAAGCTCAAATTATTGTGTCAAAATTGTCACAGCGCCACGCTTGGACAAGCTGTGTGTCACTATCGTACATATTCGTTGTGTTGGTATTATTATGTCGAACAGGTATGAGTTTCACCGACGTATTTGTAAATGATGATGACGATGTTTGTTGTTGCTGTGGCAGTTGTATCGGTTCTGGATCGGTCATACTAATTTTTGTACTGTTCTTAAGATGTGATTCTATGTGTTGAAAAATATATAAGACTGATACCACATCGTTCGCTGCGTATTGTTCCATTTTACGACGTAATAATTCCTGTTGGGAACGGAGGACAGGATCACTAAATTTCCACGTTCCAAGTTTGAGATCAACTCCACCAGACCATTTAGCACATGTGTACGCCTTATCTAAGAATTTCTCAAATCCAAGGGCGATTGCACGTTGAAGTGACCAAGCATTTGGATTGTGAGGATCTTTGTAAGGCCGAAATTCACATGTGTACAATGGATGGTCTGGGTCATGATTAAATTCCAAACTATCCTGTGGAGCAGCTAAAACTAATTCATCATCCGCTAATAAAATGTGTTCTAAATGTGTTCTGGACAATCCGGTACATGCGGATGAGTATGATTATAATACGACCTAAATTCTTTCTGCATATTTCGGATATGCACGATATTGAACAGTTTAAATAAATTAAAATGTCGAAATTTCTCTAATTCATCGGCAATCTTACCCCACACAATAAATTCGTTCTGTTGTTGGAAAATAATATCACATAATTGTTTGATCAACTGTCCATGTGACGAGGATAAGGTTGGCAACCACTGAACTTCAATCAAAATAACTACCGGTGGAGGACAAAACGATGGAACCGGTAATTTGAATCATTGACGGTTTTGCTGGATTTGTTGACGGATCCGATTCTATATCCAAAATAAACGATGTTATTTTGCAGGCCCTAATAGTATCAATCAAGTACTTGATTGCTGATTTTGTCTGTTGATTTATGTAATAAATTTGTGGTACGATTTCAACTTTTTCTTGTGTTGATGTAATTGTTGTAAATCTAAACGTTGGATATCTACGACGTTGTTCTTCATTAAATAATTGTTTTTTATGGTCATAATACCAAGAAGAAATTTTGCTTAATGAAGGCATCTACAAGTAGACAAATCAGAGAAAACACTACTGTTTTCTGCTAAACAAATAAAGTAATTTAAGTTACCAGAATACTTGAAGAAGAGATAAATTAAGCGAAGAACTAGTTGTTCTGATACAAAAGAAACAGTAACTGTTACACGATGTGGAGAAGCTAATCGTTAGAAGCGAGAAGAGTATCCTTTCGCGAGATCCTGCTTTTCTAAGAAAGTTAAGGAGGATGGTAATTCGCTAGATAGTGATAACATTCTTCTTTGATTTAATCAATTCATTGGTATTATCCGTACAATTTATCACGTAGGAATCCGCGATAAATACTCGTGTGACAGGTTCCTGAAAATCTCTAGGAGCTTTTCACATCAGACAGCTAAATAATTCTCCGAACTTGCCAGTTTTCTGGCCAGACAAATGAAGAGTAAATCAGGATAGAATTGTAATTGCCATTAATTTCAAACATTTCTTTGTTTATTTTTCTCTGTACTCATTGTTTACTTATCAGTCACGTCAGTATGAATCATTGCATAGGGCGGTTGTAAATAACATAGATGGATTTTAAAACGATGTAATGCAGTTTCCAGTAATGCCAATCAAACGTAGTAGCTACTTTTTGATTAATTTTGAACATTTTCTAGTATAAGACGTAGATCACTAACATGTACTCTTGCTATTGCGTGTGTGTTGACATCTTCCACCCAATAAACTGGATGTTTAACATTAATGATCTTGGAGGGTACTTTTGAATACTTTTCATCCAATTTGGATCTAACACCTTGTATTTTTGTTAGTACTAATTGACCAATTTTATATTTGGGATCTTTTCTCCCTCTATCATATCGGTTCTTTGCTAATCGTTGTTGATGTAGCATATTCTGACTGGCAAGTTGATGGTAAATTTTTAAATTTTTCTTGAGCTGCTGAAAATAATCAGATGGTTTGTTAAAAATAATCATCTTCGGTGGTTGATCTGGTGGTAACTTTGGATCTTGTCCATATTGTAATTTAAATGGTGAATATCCAGCTGTAAAGTGTTGTCCGGTGTTATATGCAAATACCACAGCAGGAAGGAATTCGTCCCAATTGTTTGATTCTTGATCTTGAAGTTTAGCTAATTGCGGGACGAATGTTGCATTGAATCGCTCAACCATGCCATTTGTCTGTGAGTGATATGTTGTTGAATAAACATGATTATGTCCAAGTAACTGTGATAATGCTGTCATCAACTGGTTCTGAAAATGAGAGCCACAATCAGATATCATCGTTGTCGGCACTCCATATTTACATACATATTCAGTAAAAATCGCTTGTGCAGTTCTTTGCGCGCTACTGTCCGGAAGAGCTACAGCCGTAACCCACCTTGTAAAGTGATCTGTAATACACAATACATATCTATTTTCATTTGGAGTTGTAATAAACGGGCCACAATAGTCTATTCCAATGACTTGGAAGGGGCCGGAAGGAGGTGGAATTGGATGTAGATGTCCATGTGGTTTTTGTCTATTATGGTTGTGTTGTTTACACACCAAGCATGAATTTACATAATCTTCGATTGTTCTCTGCATGTCGGGCCACCAATATTTAAATTTCATCTTACCGTACGTTCTTTGAGCCGAAAAGTGTGCTGCTGTTGGATGGTCATGGTAAGCACGAAGAGCAGGCTTTATCATTGATGATGGTAAATAAATTAATTTTAACTTTGTTCCACCACGATTTCTAGATAATAGTTTATACAAAATTTTATCCTGTAATACATATGGATGTCGGTTCGGATCGGCCTGGACTTCCGTAATTTTCTGTTGAATCACCGGATCTTTATCTTGTTCTTCTTGCAATTTCGTAAGATCGAAATGATCCTGCAACTTATGACTTGTGTTAGATCTATCTAGTGATGTTGCATGCGGAGTTGTGAGTGATTGATCTCCCTGATCTATTGTGGCAACTTTTTGTGCCTTTGCCCTAGTTCTTGTTGTGACACTTATCAGGCCACTGACTGGACGTTTTACCTCGAGGCCGTAGTCAATATCCATTAGACCGTCGAAATCCACTACTGAATTTCTTGACATATAGTCTGGTAAGCAGTTATGTCGTCCTTTAATATGAATGACCTGTTCGATATTATATTCTTGTAATAATAATACAATTCGATCCACCCGCTTATTCTTTACGTTCTTGTGCATCATATTGCACAAAGGGCAATGATCAATATATATGATAATGTTTCTTCCAAGAATGTATGATCTCATCCTCTGGAAACATCGCCAAAGCTTCTTTTTCGATTGTATCATAATTCTCTTCAGACGGGGAAATCAGTTGCGAGTGATAATAGATATTTCTTCGTTCACCATTAATTTCCTGGTGTAGCACACCGCCAACACCTAGGTTGGAAGCATCGGTCAATAAAATAAAGGGTTTGGAGTCATCAGAAAATTGTAATAATAGTGGAGCCGTTGTTAACATTTTCTTCAATTCATAGAATGCTGTAGACTGTTTCTGTTCCCACTTAAATTTGTGACGATTCTTCTTAGTCAGATTTGTAATTGCATGGATTGGAGCGGCAGCTTCAGCAAATCTCGGGATAAATTTGCGATACCTGCGATTCTCAATATTGCATTAATCGTATCATTCAATGGGATAATCGCGGATGCTGTAATTGTGTGGCCAAGATAATTAATTTTTGATTGTGCTATTGAACATTTTAGTGGATTCAGTTTCAAATTGTTGCGATTTAAGCATTCTAAAACTTTCTGTACATGATCTAAATGTTCTTCCACTGTTCTTGAGAATATGATAATATCGTCCAAATAAACTTGACAAAATTGACGGCATGATTGCAATACTGTTGACATAACACGTTGAAAAGTTGGCGATGAATTCATTAAACCCTGGGAAAGGATATTGAATTGATATAAACCAAACGGAGTAATAAATGCCGTCTTAAATTGATCTTCCTTCTTGATAGGAATCTGCCAAAATCCGCTTTTGAAATCTAATTTTGTAAAAAAATGATATCCTTCGCCCAGTCGTTGTAAAGTTTGTTCCATGTTGGGCAATGGGAATGAATCTTTAATTGTAACATTATTGAGCTTCTTATAATCCATCACAAATCTCCAGCTGCCGTCTGACTTCGGTGTTAATAATTATCACGGTGCATTTCAAGATTTTACCAAATGTTCAGGCATTTATGAGAAAAAAAGCTATTCTTTCGGTCATCCAAAATATGAGCAAATCCGACGATATTTGACAGAAGCACGAAAAGCAATGACAAGTTTAAAGTAAAATCGAATAGTATGATATTTATAGTTAGCAATAGTTTTCATAGCGAATAATATTTTTTGGCTCTCATTTAAATGCTGAGTAACAAATTATTTTTTTCTCAGTATTCTATTTAAATTATAAATAAAAAGTTTTCCTTTCTCAGCAAAGTATTACTTATATTTTGATAAACAAACAAATTTTCTTAATGATTAGATATTTTACTTATATATTAGTTATCAAACTTAGCAAACACTTTAATTGTTGAGAAAAATAAAATTAATTGAGCATCCAATAATTGTATTAAAAATTGAAGTTATTTACTGAGCAGATAGAAATTTTACTTAGCAAAAATTAACTTAGCATTTAGGTAGTTTTACTCAGCAAAAGAGAATATCATTCATATTTTTTTTCACGAAAATGAAGTCATATATAATTTTTCATTACTCAAGGCATTTTCCTGACGCTTACTGAACTGTATGCTGCAGATATTCATTAACGTTAGCATTCGTACGTTGTACAGAAAATATAATCGAAAATGACTCCTAGGTAACGAGTCGATTATTGTGGTTTTACAGGTAGTTCAATTTATTTTGAAACGATCAATCTGCATGCAGTTTTTCTTTACAAATCGTTTCAGAAAAAAATTCCTATACCAAACGATAGACAATTTAATTCTCTACAAGATTGTATATTCATTTTTAAGATTCATCGTTGATGTTTGGCACAGTAAGTAAAAGGAAAAGCTTTAAACTTCGTAAGTGCATCTTCTAGAAATTGATGTTTTGCGCAAAACCTCACTAAAAATCACTTATTCAACAAAAGAAGGTATACCGAAAAATTCAGCAAGAAATTTTCTACAATATGTTGTTTTTTTTAATGACAAACGATGATTTTTTTAGATGAAATCAGAGCGATCTTCAAGAAAGGTCATTTTCTCCGATTTTTCGGTCATCTTAGCAACAACCAGTATTCCCTAGTTTTTCTGATAAAAACAGTACCAGATTTAATTGTAAGTTACACAATCCAATAGAGCGCAAACTTTTGCATTTTTTCGTCTATAAACTAATGATCTGAACTTTGGATTTTAGATACTGAAATAGTCAAAACTTTATTTTTAGTGCTAGAAACTTCGGTGGACTTGGAACTTTATGTATTAAAGGCACTAGCAATTGAAATAAATTTCCTTCAGGTAAACGCTTTTGTAAAGTATGAAATTCTCCACTATAATAAAATTATTCTAGATTCTTCTGTACTCATTACAAGCAATTAAAAAAAGAGAGTTTGCACTTTAAATACTTGCACTTTAATACTACGTGGTGCAAACTTGGAGGTTTTCCTGTTAGACTTACTGTGCCAAACATCAAAGATAAATCTGAAAAATGAATATACAATCTTGTAGAGAATTAAATTGTCTATCGTTTGATGTAGTAAGGAATATTTTTCTGAAACGATTTGTAAAGAAAACCTGCATGCAGATCGTTTCAAAATAAATTGAACGTCCTGTATGTTGACCATGTTGACTTTGACGTTCAACCAAGTAGCTTAGATCATTTCGGTTTTCGTCGATTGAATTGTTAATTCTTCCAACCGTAAGTCATCTTTCGTCAATCATTTCTTTCTCTTTGTACATGTTAGATATTTTTCTTCTCAAGCAAAAATCGTTTAATCGGCTCTTGCATCTAGATTAAAAGGTACATTTATCTAGCTGCAATTACAACTAGTTGCTGTGAATTAATCGGGCAATTAATTGGTCAATGCAACGACCCTTTTAGCTAGTACACGATTTCAACCGGCGTGCAGCTACCCTAGAGAACTTGATTTCTTGCTAAGTACTTGTCAATGATCGAAATACTTGCCTTATTGCTAAAAAGTACTTTCTGAAAGTACTTTGGCAAGTAAGGACAAGCACTTAAAAGTAAATTTACTTCTTGGGTCGACCCTCACCCTCCAAGTACTTGACCCCAGGTACGTTCTCTAGGGTATAATCTAGCTGTAAGCAGGCTCTGCAGCTAGATTTTCTCGCTTACTTAATCTTGCTTAGGAATCTCATTGTTCATATTTCTATCACTCTCCTTTTGCCTTCTGCACTATATACACTCACTATACAGTCATTACATGTTAGTCTATGGGATATTATCCAATACATTAAGTTTATTAAATAAACTCAGTAAAGGATAGCTTTCCTTTACAGATACATAAAAAATAGAAAGTGAACGTAGTACTGTCCTATTTAATTTTGGCTGGTATCTTTATACTATTAATACTCTTTAATGATTAACTGATAAGAGTTTGAATCTAGTAATAAAATTTTAAACTCTTCCTAATTATTCATATAATTTGTCTCAAAGATATGTTTTGGAAGAGCTGACTTTAAATTTTCTGTAAGGATTGTCACGTTGGATGATGCTGTCTCGATATCGCTACTCAATTCGTCATCATCTTGTTTATTTGCCATAGCCCATTTATTAGCTGGAGCGAGTGACGGAATGACCTCTTCAACACAGAATCATCTGTTGAGCAGTAGATTTTCTAAAATCTACTGTATTGCCTGTATCAGTGCATAATTGAAAACCTTACAACTCACTTATCACACATGAAAAATAAATGAAACTTTCAGAAACGTTCAACACTTTGAAAACGATCGATCCGGTAATCTATGTGTTACTTTGTCTACGGCAGGAGAGAATGCCGGCAGTTACTTATAATCCTCATGGAGAGGTAGTGACTTATATATCGAATTCTATTCCACATCAATTTATTGCTTCCTGCTCAAAAACTGAATAAATTCCTGCGTGAATCCATGCGACACACACAATCACTACAACAACATTGTCCGCCAGCAGACGAGACCTGCCTCATCTTACAGATCTCGGCGAGCTGAATCGAATGGCGAAAATCACAGGTCTCTAACTTTTGTGGAATAAAATTATCGCCATTTGTCACAATAAAAGACAAACTTGGTTAAAGTCAAACTATAACTTTGATTGTAATTGTCACATTTGTATAAAAGAACAGACAGACAAAAGGATCAAATAATGCATGAAGAAATTTTCAAAAAAAAATTTCAATTACTTGGACATATATTCTAGTTTCTGCAGCCGGTGGTACTTTTTTTAAAATAAAACATGTCTTCGATATGGTAGTTTTAGGTAGAAAAGTGTTACAATTTGTTAAACATGATCACGAGAGTCTGTGTATGATGCACGCATGGAATTTTGTTGTGACCCAAGTATATTATATAGCGGGAATAGATTATGGTCAAATCAGTCATTACTTAAAAACATCCATGGACCTCAAAACAAAGATCGAAGGAAATGATGCCAATATGACCAATGAATTGACGTTTGTCAGGTCATAACCGTCTGCTTGGCAACGCTCGTTGTATGGTTATATGAGCGGCAGTTCAGAAGGTTTCGATTATCCGTTAGAATTTGCGTTACCTGACATGATGAAAGATTCGGATGATAAACACAACTGGAGATATTCCGAAATGCACGATTCGGATAGGAATTATAATAATGATGACGGCTTGAATGAATACGATTATCGGTAATAAATACGAGAAAATGGAATTTGTCCTTAAGAGCGGAGAAGATGCAGATATTTGATAGGAATAGCATAAAGCAATCTCTTTCTTCTTACTTTGACTAGTGTTTTAAATTCATTTAACCTCATTCTACGAAGAGATAGAAGAGACTAACGTCATAGTAAACGTTTTTTGACCGGATGGAGTTGTCCAACACAAAAAAGTGATAGTCGATAACCTCACATTGCTAATTTGAAAATAAAAAATAAGTATGACGACTATTTAGAAAATCCATGTTTAAGTACTTAAAACGACTAAGTACTTAATTCAACTCAGTTCTTGATGCTGATTCCGAATATGAAATTTTTATTTTATAAAAGATGAATTCCGGTGGAGAAAATTGAGAAGTACGGGTAGAATTCCAACTTCTTCGCTTCTCGTTTGCATGCATCACAGGCGATAAAAACTAGACAAAATATGGGATGTATCGATAATAGTGGAAAAGAAACTAAAATTTATCTGAGGTTTTCTCGAAAACTCTTTAAAATCTGTCCAAAAACCTGTTTTAGACATTAAAAAGCCATTGAACTTTGTTCAGCTCTTCAAACTCTATCGATAACTACATCTTAAAATTGTATCATATGCTTTGAAAGTGCTGAAAAACGAACTAAAATATACATTTTCGTATGTGGACTTTTGAAAACCTTTCGAAAACCGTTTTTATCCAAGGTCTGGAACTCACCAACTGCCCCAGTATGTTTAGTTTTTCCAGCTCTATCCACCCATGTGCTTGGAAATGTTCCAACTAGGTTGTAAACGTGAGAAGTGCAGTTTTAAAAAAGTTAAAATTTTAAATTTTAAAATTTAAATAAAAATTTCAGAGTATGACTTGGAGAGTCAGACTTTTTCTTTAAAATGTTCCCCTCTCAAGTCTGAATAAAATCGCTAATTTGAAATATTTTTACAGACAAGTGTTTCTTGAAAATAAATTATTTTCTCTAAATGGATGTATGAAAAACCGTGGTTTTCTGAAAACCTTACTTCCGACACCTTTAAAATTATTTCAAGTTAACCATCGAAAAGAACATCGTTCAAAACCCTTAAGCACTGAGATTTAACAAAATCCGTTCGGTCCTTCATAGGGGTCTTTCGTTGACCACATGCAATAACTTTTCTCGTCACAGGCTCAGAGTACGGCACGTGTTTTTAACACCTGATTTCCTTCACTTATTACGTTATCCTGTGTTTTATAGATATAGGAAAAGTTTTCACTTTTATGGGTCAATAGATACAAAACAGAGGAACAGAGGACGTTTGTGTAGTCACATAAATAAAGAGAAAAGAAGAGTTAATAATATTCAAGATTTCTGCTATACATGTGCGTCGATGGCGTAATAAAACAAGGAAACGATACAATCTGATATAATCACGTGTTAAAAACAGGTGCATGTAGGCAACGCATAATGTCTTTCAAAGATCCGAACCATTGAAGATTTTTCCAACTTGAAATGGACTAAATTTGTATAATTTATATAGGATTTGTATCCAATCGGATTAACGGGATAAATCTTGAGTCGAATCGATTTAAAATCGACTTATAACAAACAAAATGAGAATTTTTCCATGTGAAAATGATTTACGAACAAGGCGACCAGATCTAGTGTTTCGGAATCCGGAGTTTTCCGTAAAAAACTTGGAGAAGAAAAAATTTTAATTCCCACACGTTATATCCAAGCGATATCAAATTCACGTTTTCGTATTCAGTTTGTCGTGCTGAATAAGAAGGAAAAAAGCGCAAAGTTATAAAACATAAAAGGAGTCAGAAAACTGAGTTTTCTGATAATATTATCGGTTTTCTGAGGTAGAGTAAAATTTTCTCCTCCCAGATCCAATTCCAGAGGTTAAAGCATAGATATTCCGACTCAGCTCGATGAGCTCTATTCAACCATCCGTGTATGACCCATCGAGATAAAAAATAGTGCTCTTCCTTTGAATTACGTGCACCTTAACTTCTAAGTTTATTTAGTGCTATAATGCTTACGAGAGAACCCCACCAACTGATTAAAAGCTCCAAGGCTCATATTTGCGCCATAAGTAGGACTTAGTAAGACTAGAGAAATCCTAAAAGGATTTCCTTTCATGGGCCTATTTCGCTAAGATAGGAACCTTCCAAGTTTAGGATCGAAATGTAGACAGATTGCTTGTTGTACCTGGATTTACAACATTAACATATATCACATTGTTGAAATCCTCATCGATGAATCGTTGAGCTGTTGAAAGAATTTGTTGTGATGTTCATCTGATGATCTAGCTGCTATATAAAAAAAGCATCAAGTATTAATATTTCACAACAATAAGATTATTTCAGATATGTGTGCTGATTCAAAATCAAATGCGTAGCTCTATATTTGTTCCTATGATAAAATACGCATGGTACGCTAGCGGTTACTCTAAACAGAACCCTGGTCCATTTCAAAGCGTTAAAGAAATTTGCTTTTCTTTTGATCGCGACAACTGCAGCGAGCAATCATGCGATCCTTTCATTACGCGTAGTTGCTGTCGAAAAGACTTATGTTTCAACCACTTTTTCGTCAGTTATCACATTCACTGAACTCTCACATATAAGTAGCTAACAATTCGTGTTTCATTTGTTCTAATGATCACATTGCATGTTTTAGTTTTTCCATCTGTTACACCAGCGAATAAAACGATCTCAGCCATCTCTACACGACCCTCAGGATGATTTATGTAAAAAAAAACCGTAAAAAATTTAAATTTGTAAGTATTTTGGACAGTAGAATTTTCTTTTGACGCATGTTAGTATTGTAATTCAAGCACAACAAATAGATTATCTACATGTTCGATCCTGAATTTGAAACGTTCATATCTTAGCGAAATAGGCCCATGAAAGGACATCCTTTTAGGGCTTCTCTAGTCTCACTAAGTCCTACTTATGGCGTGATAAGCGTTTAATCAGTTGGTGGAGTTTCCTCGTTAGTCACCGATACGGATAGTCTCTGGTCCTTCTGCAAGTGTTGGGCTCTTATTCCCTATTAGCTCTTCATGCGTTCTCTATGAAATCTAAAAGATATTGTCTTCTCCGAAAAATCAAAAGCGTTCTTCAAAACATCAGAAACATACACTTTCGAACCTAATTGCATTCTCTTTTAAACTCTTATCATTCCACGTGTTAAAATTTCTACACTTTTCTAAGGTGCACGGAATCCAAACTTCAAGTGAAACTTTTTTTACTTTATTATGCATATTCGAATTCGTCGTATCAAACTGGTCACGAATAACATCTACCCAGATTCTAAAAGCCCTTTCTTGGTGCAGAAAATCACGAAATACTGAAAGTCTCCCAAAAACCTTCCCTACAGAAAAACACCGATTTTTTCGACTTCCTCCAGTTTTAGGCTTCGGAATTTATATTTTTCTGATTCAATATTCGAAACTGAACAAAGAAACAGTCTTTGAACGGTTTCAGAACCGGACGTCTAGTCACCAAGAGTGTCCAAACATATGCCTCTAAAAAACGGTTGGCAATTACGGGCAGAATTCCGAGTTTTTTGCGTCTTATTAAAAAAATGAATTTTCTCAGCGAAGAAACTTTTCCTTTTTAAGAGCGATATATACTTTTGAAGATTAGCTTCTGGCGAATCTAGCCATGTGTAAATAGCGGTTCCACATCCTACACCGACACCTCTGTTGCAAAACTGAAAACCATTTTTGAGAGGCATACGTTTGGACACTCTTGGTGACTAGACGTCCGGTTCTGAAACCGTTTGAAGACTGTTTCTTTGTTCAGTTTCGAATGTTGGATCAGAAAAATATAAATTCCGAAGCCTAAAACTGGAGGAAGTCGAAAAAATCGGTGTTTTTCTGTAGGAAAGGTTTTGGGGAGACTTTCAGTATTTCGTGATTTTCTGCACCAAGAAAGGGCTTTTAGAATCTGGGTAGGTGTTATTCGTGACCAGGTTGATACGACGAATTCGAATATGCATAATAAAGTAAAAAAAAGTTCCACTTGAAGTTTGGATTTCGTGCACCTTATGACCTGTCTGATTCTATTTCGACTTCTTAAGTGTGAGACATTTTCAGATATACATTTATATTATGCATTATTTCTTCTTAGTCATCTATATGTAGAACACAGAACATTGTTAGAACAATTTTACCGTGTAAACTCCTTACTATATTTTTCCTCTTTCCTTTTTCTTCTCTTGTTATGTATGTAGCTATCATACATAACAATTTATTTAATGTTAAACTCTTTGAACTTATATCAAAAGTTTCTATGTTACAGTCTTTTTATCTATACTGACATGCACAAACGACTGAACGTTATAGTTATAAATCAAGCAAAATTTAATAATCATCCTAAGCAGCACTATTTTACAGTCCAAATACGCCGTAAATTTTGCTCATTCTAATGATACCAGAATGAGCCTTACCGCTATTCGATTAGAATGTACTCATGCTGAAGGAATAACTCAGCTTGCCCATAAACTTACTTCAAAAGTTGTTTGTGAAAAGTGCTAATCGAACTAAAAAGGTTCCAGATTTCGAAAAAAATTTGTATTTTAAAATAGTCGAAGATCGACATTTGTGGTTTATTTTAAAAAGAAAAGCTCTATCTGACCATGTATGACTTATCGAGCAAAAACATAGTGCTCATCCTTTGAATTAGGTGCACCTTATATGTGATTATCTTTCTCTCTTTTTCTTTGTTTCGCTCGTTGAATAGACCTTCTCATTACTCGTTTGGCAGAAAAACATGACAAGAAATTTTGCTTCTCCAACAGAAATCTGCTTGATACTCGTCTGTTTTTCTCCTGATCAACTCCTGATTTCTTACGAAAAACTCGCGATTTCAAAAAACTGGATTTCGTCACCTTGTTTATAAATCATTTTCAGATAAATTCTCATTTTTTTGTTATGAGTCGATTTTAAATCGATTCGACTCAAGATTTATCCCGCTAATCGGATTCGATACAAATCCTATATAAATTATACAAATTTAGTCCATTTCAAGTTGGAAAAATCTTCAATGGTTGGGTCTTGAAAGACATTATTCGTTGACTAAATGAAATATCTTTTCTCATCATAGACTCCAAGTACGGCACGTGTTTTTAACACATGACTGTTGTCGTTCCCTTCTTCTAATACGCCATCGACACACGTGTATAGAGAATAGCAAAAATCTAGAATGTTAACTCTTCTTTTCTCTTTATATTTATGTAACTACACAAAAGAGTTTCTCTCTTTTTCCTCTGTTCACATAAAAGTGAAAATTTTTCATCCGTCTATAAAACACGAACGTTTTTTCTATTACAGACATCATTTGAGCATTTAAGACAAGTAGTACTTCTTCTCATTTTTTCTTCATAAGCAAATCGTATCTTAGTTTTTGAATTCAATCACTTGCAGTAAAATAATAATCATGACAGCATCAATGACCACAAGATCAATGGATAACAATGATTTTGTTGCAATAATTATGAAAGATCATGAGTAAGTTTCTTGTCATGGTTATTTTTGATCATCGTTAGATTTCTCTTTTTGTTTTTTTGTGAATAGAAAAGTAAATGAACTTTATGATGAATTTAATACTATTGGTAATGCTGAAGATCAACAACAAATTTTATTTGAATTTATTCGTGAATTAAGTGTACATTCACATAAAGAAGCATTATTTTTATATCCATTAATGGAAAAAGTGTTACCCGATGGTAAAAAATTGGTTAAAGAAGCGATCGGTAAGTAAATGTTTTATGAATAACAAATGGCTCGTTAGTTCCCAATATTTTTAAAAGTTTTCCCGCTCTTCGGTCTTTATCACGTTGATGTGACTGGTATGTTCGAGACATAATGGGTCTAAGTCACACGTGCTGACTCTGAAGAATGACCGCTGATTATTGTATACTGTGTGCTAGTGAATCTACATTCAAGTTTTGATTCAGAGAATGTAGATTCTTTTTATTTAATCGAGCGCTATATATTTCGACTTTTGTTGTAGTACGTAAGTTGTACCAGAGCTCCATATGGGTTGAAAATTCTAAGTCCAGTCCATGGACTAAAAAAATCTAGTTCGAGTCCATGAAAAACAGTTTTTCACGTCATGAGATCTAAAAAAGTAGGCTATTCTAGTTTACAATACAAAAATAACATGGTTTTCCTCGGTTCAAGTGAATCCAAAATTTTTTTCGAGTCCAATCAGTCCATGATCTTGATCTTTTTAGGGTATCCAGGAAAATTGTCATAACGTATTTTATTAAGAATCGCTCAGATTTGTGAAATGTCTCATTTTGTAGACAAATGCTTGTTCTGTGTATTTAATACAAAAGACAAAATTAAAAGCTAAATAGGAAAGAAGCTTGTTGAACGAATTATTGACAAGGCACGAATAGAGTTATATAACTAATGATCAAGTATCACCTACAGTTATGATATTGAAAACTATTCATATTTTTGTCACAATTAACTTCATTCACCGACATTTTTTGTCTTGGAACAGATATTTCTCTATAAAATGAGAGATGTTTCATAAGTCTGAGCAATTCTTAATAATCACGTTATAACGATTTTCCTGAAAGCCTTCCAATATCAGTTATTTAACTTAGTAGTACGAAAGCGGCAAAAAATTGTTGACTTTTGCTGAAAATTTGAATATTGTTCGCTCGTTCAGCTAGATTTTATTATGAGAAGAACACTACACTGTTTATTTGAAAAATGTGAAAATATTCTTGTGAGACAAACCAAAATTTTTTGTTCAAAGTAATTCAGATTGAATTTCACAAGCATTTTTTAAACATGAGAAAGGGAAAAACTTTTTTGACGAAAATTGTGACTTTGTTTTCGTTTTAACTCATCCAATTTTTTTACTGTTTAACTGAAACAAAAAGTGCTTTGTTTTTTTATACAGTCAATATATCGAAGTATAAGAAATCTCTACTTAAAATTTTTGATTTGGTCAGATATAAAGGAATAAAAAATTCTGTTTGTTTTAGATGAACATCGAACAGTTGAAACATTATTACAACAAATAGATATGTTAGCTGATGATGTACAAAATATATCAAAAATAAAACCGTTATTCAAAAAATTAATGGTGGATTTAACTAAACATATTGAAGAAGAAGAAACAGATTTATTACCAAGTATGAAAGAAAATTTGGATAAATCAACAGCTGATCAATTGTTAAAAGATTGGCAAACGGAAAAAGTATCAACACGGTAATTTGAAAGTTTATTATATTCGAGTATTATGTTCTAATTTTTTTTTCATCATCATTTTTAGACCTCATCCCGATGCACCAATGGAAGCATCAGTTAATGTTCTTGCTGAAGCTGATAGAAAAGCGGCACAAGAAGATAAATTATTAGATAAAAAACGTTTTGGAAGTAAGTTTATTCTTGAATCTGATTCACTAGCGTTAATGAACAGAATTGACTGAAAAATGTTAGTGAATTTGAGTCTAATCTAATTTTTCTAATGTCACCAGTTTGTCTATCTAAAGTTATTTGATGTCTTTTTATACATTTAAAAAGTATCTTTAATTTTTTATGGTAGAAAAATGTCTTGAAAGTTTTTAAAACAAAATCCAAAGTGTAACATACCAATATTTTATAGAAAAGTTTTTCAGCGTCTTTTGCGCTCTCTCATTTGGCCTATGAACTTTTATTTTGTTTTCATCTTATAAAATGGACGGTTTTATCTATTTTCTTTTTAATGCTATATCTAAAGTGACACTTAGACAAAAACGAGAGATCGTAACAAATTTTAGACAGATATACAGATCTATTTCATTATGAAAAAGAGCTGAGCCTTCCATAGACTGTCATAAAAAATTCAAAATCTTTTTGAAATTTTTTAAAATAATTAGTTATTTGCTCTTTTTTAACAAAAAAAGCGCGTCGTCACGTTAAAAAATAGCTTTTCTCGAAATTGCTATGACCTTGGCCGTTGTCGATTTAGCCACGAACAGATGTAGAGAACTTTTCATATCGACTTGAATATCGTTTTCTCCCGTTAACTTGACAGTTTATGGTTTATTTTGATAATATACGAGGCGTGGGCAGTTACAGTGACCGTTTTCTTCATAATCAAGATTTCTAAAAGTTGGATGTTTATCTATCTCTTTTTTCATACCGTAATAAACTCACCTAGTTCAACTCAACTACTATTCGACAGTTTTTAATGTGTATTAGAGGAAGCCACCTTTTTACTTTTAAAAGAGAATATAGAGTAACCAACACCTTATTAAAAATGTAAAATCATGTTGATTTGTCTCTAAACATTAAAGAGTGTTGAATAAAGATTATCTGTTTATTTTGAGTTTATTACAGTATAAAATGCAAGATAGGTAGATAAATGAGCATCAATTGTCATACATCTTGATTGTGCAGAAAACGGTAACCTGATGACCAGTTGGTTTAAGCTTTATTGATAGAGAAAAATAACTAATAAGACATGCAATCGGTCCTAGGGCCATTACACCATGTTATACAATTGTATAAAAAGTAGGTTAGCAGTATAAAAGAAAGGGCGATAAGAGAAGAAGATCTTATAACAAGATGACCAGTTACTAGAAACAATGAGAATTGGAACTGTCTCATACTTATAATATACTTCGAAAATAACGGTCACGCTCGTACAACTACATCATATCTATAACTAATTCTGGATTGAGCACAGCTAATAAATCATATCGTTTACGAAAAGCAATGTTATAAGTATAGTGCGGAGGAAAAGCACCTTAAGTGAAAATTACCGTTTGGCTATTTGCATCTAAACTTCTCTTTTCATATTATCTTTCTTTTTCAGGTTCAAAACATGCAAATGATGATGCAAAGAAAATATTACATCATTAAATGCCAACAATTAGATGAAAAAAAGAACAAAAAAAAATGATTTTTATTGTCTACGTTGATATAACATCTAGTTTCTTGTGTGTGTGTTTTTGTTGGTTTTTTGAAATAAACTACAAATGTCGATCTTCGACTATTTTAAAACACATTGTTTTCGAAATCTGGAATCTTTGTAGTATTCGAGTTGCATTTTTCACAAACAAGTTTTGAAAGCCAGTCAACTAATCGGCAAGTTGAGTTATTCCTTAAGCATGAGTACTTTCTAATCGAATAACTATAAGACTCATTCTGGTATCATTAGAATGAACAAAATTTCAAATATATTTTGACTATAAAATAGTGGAGACTTAATTAATTTTTGATCGACTTTTACATCACAAAAATGTTACTCTTACCCTTTTTAGCTGACTCGAACTCTATCCCATATACTTGCAATTTATGTCAAAGATATAACTTTTTGATTTCTGTTGAATCGGTTGTGCAAAAACAAGTGTTTTATTAACATAAAAATTAAGTTTTCCCAAATCCTTTTATGCCAAAAGTGAGACTTGTGTAGATCCGAGGCAACAGTCTAATAATAATACTCATTATGCTGAGTATACTCTGGCTGCTTAGCATGATTATTCAATTTTTGCTTTGAAAACATAGCTTCAGGCCTTGGCTAGTGAATGATGAAAACCGCAAGTCTCTATCTTTTATTCCTTTTGAGTTATTCTAAAATAACCACGGGTCTTATATTTTGAAACCGATAGTAGTCTATAGCGAAAGTTATTTTTAATACAAGTGTTTTTTTGCAGTACAAATTGCTGAAACAGCTGACTGAATGACACATTATTCGATTCAGTTTCTGACGCTAACCACAAATATAGGCTTGGTTTCACTTTAAAATACTTTCTTCAAACCAAAAAATGCAAAATATTGTTTTAAAAATTTAATGATTTCTACGTGATACCTACTGTCAGAGGCACTAGGGGCTTTCAGTGAGCTTAACGTCGCTTACGAAATTTTTTTATCCATTGATAGATCAAGGTTGGAACTACTTATGCATTAAATATTTCCAAAATTCGTCTTATGCCATGGGAGAAAATCGATTTTGAAAACTGACATTTTCAACCAAAGTCGCTGCTTTCAATGCAGTTTTTATTTGAGTAAAAGCGAATTAAAAGCTCATATGTTCAAGTGTTGTAGTATTCGAGGTCCTCTATTTAATGGTGTTTTCAAAATTTTATGAAAATGTTTTGTTTCGATACAGTATGGCGCCAACATGGACAAAATATGAGTTTAAGACCTACCGGATACAAGTCACTGTATGAGAACAAAACCATTTCCAGAAGTGGGGTTCATTTTAAATCAAAGAAGAATGTTGACTCTATTTATGCAAAAAATTTGAGCTCTTTATCTTATATGATTGCCGAGATATGAGCAACACAAAGTTGTCAGTATGAGAGATGCCGCATTTTTCAAAAGTTGGTCGAAATTTTAAAATGCTCGTTTCTCAGCAACCCAGCAATATTTTTCCAAACGGAAAACGCCATCTTACTTAGAAATGTCTATATTTTCTTTTATGACTGGTTTCAACAACTTCTGTGGGATACGTTCGAGCAATGTCAGTCGTGGGTTATACGAAATGGCTCTTAGTAAATCGTTATTACCAGCAAATCCCGTTATTTCTTTTATTTTTGTTGCAATGATAGTGGTTTCTTTTTTAGCGCAGCGTCAAACGTAGACGCGATAACATTTCAATCCCTTCAACGGCCATGGGCTTTTAACGGCATTTAAAGAATCGCAGCTTTTTATTCTTAATAAATATGAATCGATAGTTAAGATTATAAAAAAGCATTTCTGTCTTTCAAAGATTTCTAGAAAATCCTTCAAAAACCAAAGCACTTCTTATTGATGATTGTAATTTTTATTGAAGTTTTAAAAATTCAACTTTTTAGTTACGCTTTGGTTTTAAATTGACAAGAGTGAGTACAGTACATGCAATTTCACACTTTTTTTTATTCACGATATTTCGACCTTGATTTATCGGATCCATTTAATTACTTGCAGTATCTATTGATATTCTGTAATGATCAGTAGTATACAACTTATTCTATGCCAGAATTCCCGGAATTACTTCAATGCGGAATTACCAGGAATTCCGGAATTACTTGAAGTATCAGTCTCACTCTCACCATCCTCACCCTCATCCTATCAATAGATACTTCCATTAATTCCGGAATTCCTAGGAATTCCGCACCGAAGGAATTCCGGAAATTCTGTCATAGAATAAGTTGTATGCGATCAATCATCACAATATATCAATAGATACTTGAAGCAATTCCTAGTAATTCCGTTTCAGTGAAAAGTATATCTTGTTGTCAGATATTGTTTGACACCTCTGTATCTCAAAAACTATACTGTAACCTTTTCTAAAAAAGAGCTGGGTATACAGTACAACTGGTGTACTTCAAACTGACATAGAAAACGGGGAGGGATACATTCTAGTTGGTTTCAACTTAGTCTGTCAAGTTGAAAGAATATATAGCAGTCGCATAATTAGTGTAGCGAACATTTGCTGGAAAATATAAACTTTCTTCTTTTCTCATTTTCTGGCTTGACGTCAGTTTTTTTTCTTCTTAATCGTTTTCTTCGGTACGCTTATATAAATAGATATAACAGAGAAGGCAGTAAGAAACGAATGAAATTATTTTCATAGAATTATGCATATAACTTGACAGCACTCACTATGGAATTATCGTTTATTACGTCAACTTTACAACCTAAAGTAAAACGAACTACACTGTAAAAAATAGTCGTAGATTAATAAACTATCAAAAAGGGTTTATTGAGACCAATAAACCTTTTAAAAAACGCTTTTCCGTTTTTTATATCCAAAAAACTAAAAAGCGTTCGTGACAGATGCAAAATGAAAGACGGGCGGTTTTTTATCAAAAATAAAAAACCCTTTTCAGTTTTTTGTCGAGTTTAAAATACCAGCTAAAAATCTCTTCAGTTTTTAAAAAAAACTAGCTAAAAAACTGAAGAGTTTTTCGGCTGGTATTTTAAACTCGACAAAAAACGGAAAAGCGTTTTTTAAAAGGTGCCTGACTTATTTTTTTCGTACTAAGTATACTTTGCTACTGACAAAATCATTAATTAATTTTCATAAATTATTTGCCGAGCTCATTTCTCTCGTTTTACCGTCAAAAATAACATTAGTCGAGCTCATTTGTATCTTTTCAGAGTATAAATTAATGTCCGAGCTCAAAACTCTCATTCGTATAAGTAGAGAGAGAGAGAGAGAGAGAGAAGAATAGAAATGAAAAATACCCATCGAAAAGAGTGAACAGAAAGAGAAAACATACGTCATATAAAAGCAAAAGAGTGAATGCATATAACAGAAGAACAAAAAGGGAAAATAACCATCGAGTGAATGATTAATTTCAATTTATCTTAAATAGCTTCTTTTCTTGTGTACTTAACCTTACACAAGAATTGTATTTTGTCTTTTCTCGCTTTTTATTGGATAACGAAAGGCTGTCATTTTATTTCTTTTTCATACTTATACTATTGGATTAGACATTTTTCTAACGGGTGGCGCATAACAAACGGGACACTTTTGTTCTTTACGTTTAAGACACTCCCGAATGATCTAAAAATCTGGCTCTAGTCTCATTCGATAGAGAATTGAATTCCCTACAGAACCTGCTTTTTGAATCTCTGATAGCATTTTTTTCGTTTGAGCACCACTCAAAATATTGAAGGGTGCTAAATTCTCGAACTGCGACATACCGAAAACAGAAAAATATTTGCCTTGATCCCAGAATAGATTTCATAAGCATTTTGAAAACATCAGAAGATTCACCGAAAAATGCTGCATCTTCTTACACATTCTTTAAAATTCTACAGTTAACTCTTCTACGAAAATTTCTCTTTGCAAAAAGATGATAAATCTAAAAAATCTAACTTTTGAATCTATTTTTCACAGATTTTTATTTTTGCTTATAAAAGCAGTAAAACGTGATTAATCCAGGGTTTTAGCCTTGTTATCGTACACAGAATTAATTTCTGCATCTTTTGATATATAAACAAAGTTTCTCAATTGAAACCGTTAATTATAAAATTAATTTAATTTGAAAAAGCGTGAAAAGTCGGTTGAGAACTAGGTAGGAGTCCAGCTGATGTAGCGAAAACATTGTATGAAGTGATAAATGAGTGAGACCGATAGAGCACAAAATTCTCAATTTTTCTACCTAGAAAAGCAACTATTGAACCTCAGACAATGGGCTAAAAATCTCAAAAAAGCATATAACAAAAGCACGTCACAGTTTGAGCATTTAGCACTATTCAATATTTTGAGTGGTGCTCAAACGAGAAAAATGCTGTCAGAGATTCAAAAAGCAGGTTTTGCAGAGAATTCAATTTTCTATCGAATGAGACTAGAGCCAGATTTTGAAATCGACCGATAAAGCGGCTGATACATCGTGGGATATGTCGATCGATTTATCTACTTGAACACCATTTTAAGTCAATTGCATTCCATCCTATCGTTAAAATCGACTCTGTATCTAGTATAAGCCGATTTCCAAGTAGATGTAACTAGTGAGAATAATGTACTTAGGGCTGACCAAAAGTTCGTAGAACAATAAATAAAGGATCCTGTCGAATAAGATGACTATGTCTCAATTGCAAATACATCATCGTGTAAAGCTTTTCAAGGCAAATCGAATGGTATATAAGAAATCTATTTTTCGACAAGTTCGCAGGAAGTTAGATTGAGTTTACTGAAGAGGAGACAGGATCCAAAATTGTGGTAAATAGCTACTCAGTGTTCATCCACATTGTTAGTCGATGGACTCCATAAAAAATTGTATATACAGTTGTATAAAGTCTTTGATGGGCTACAATCTGATATATTTCACATCTTCAGTTATCTAATGTTTGAGAAAGAAAGATGATTACCTATCTGGATTGATAGCACTTTTACCACAATTGTGGATATTGTCCTGCCATCAGTAAACTCCATCTAGCTCCCTACGAACTTGGAAAAATAGATTTCTTATGTACCATTCGATGCACCTTGAAAAGCTCTACACGATGATGCATTTGGTTTTGCAACTGAGACAGTCATCTTATTCGACAGGACTCTGTATTTATTGTTCTACGAACTTTTGGTCAGCCCTAAGTATTTGTATTTGTGTAAGCTCGTGTGATGCAATGGTGTATAGACTACTGATCTCTAGGCACACAGTTCGAATCTCTCCATGCGCTCTGTTTCTTTTATTTCATATCGATTAAAAACTCATTCCATCACTTTTTGTATCTAGCAATTCTTTTTTTTAAATAGCTAAATAAATCATACACACGATGTATCTGATTCATATTGTTTTTTATCAACCATAATTTCTTACTAGATGCATCAGGTATTTTATTGTGTAATCGGATCAAACTCGATCTATCTAGCTAAGCCGATATTTTTTACTCTTCCATTTAGATACTTTTGCTGGAGAATAGGGTGATACTCCAACGAGTGTATCTAGACTTTTTCTCTTGTGCTTTCGTGTGCGGAATGCCTGTGATTAATAGGGAAACTTAAATCGCTACTGACGATTCCGATAGTCGTCTGTACTTCTTTCACTATTACCTAAGGCGGGCAATAGTTTCAAAATGATTCCCTCCTTTTTCCATTTATAGATTTAAATAAAATTTATCATTCTAGATAAACAATCATAAATTCGACGAAAAACGAGTATTTACTGAGTTACAAAACGAAAATTTTTTTTATGAATGGCTGGTAAGGAAAATAGAATAGATGCATGTAGTAAGTATACTGGTATTTTTATACTAATAGGAAAGATTTATTTAAAAACAAGAAACGTATTAGAAGTTGAAAAAAGCATACTAGCAAGCTCTAATGGCTGTGACTAATAAAGAAAACTCTTTTCAGCAAACGATATGCTTTTTGTAGCCAAGATCTTTTTTGTGTATAGATAACTTAAAAATACCTACAATTGGTACTTATACATTAGCACCAAAGTGTTCAGAATGTGAAACAAATGAAGCAAATGCTATTTTAATTCCGTGTGGACATTTATTGTATTGTACAAGATGTGCACCTTCAATACATGTATGTACGAAACGTCATGAAAAAGAAAGTGACAAGACAGTTACGAATTGGGCAGCCGTATTTAATGTATTCAATAATTAAACTCAACCAAGCAATCATTTAACTAGTCAATATCTGATTTTTCTTGTACCGCTTCTAAATAGTGCTGTGACGTCTCTATTCAATTTCTTTTGTGAATTATTCTAGATATAGGCTTTCTTTTATCTAGTAAACGAGTGTATGTATTAGTTAAAAAAGTTACATAAATAGTTTCTACAATGATGTAAAATTTTAGCCAGTCAGAAAAGGGTCTAAAATTATATGTGATTAAATATGTTTAGAATAAACATAGCAAAGTCAAATGCATTGTACAGGTCTAATAATATTAGGGTTGTACAGTCTGCCGGTTAGTCGTTATGACTAACCAACAAAATTTTATTCCTTGTTGTTCTAAGATAGTGAAAATCATAAAAATCCGTAGTAATGAAATGAGCTTTTCACCGTCAAACCGAACTCTACACTCAAAAGTAATACGCGTGTAAGATTTCTCGTATTAGTTCTATCTAGAAGTGTAGATTGTAATTATCCATATCGCTCCTGTAAGTCGACTGAAAGCGATCTTTCACAAGCATTTTCGATGGTCTCTCAAGCTATATAGATATAGGTCTTTGAAATTCCGGATTTTCCATAAAACCTATCAATTGCAAAGTACATTGAAATTCTTTTTTGAGCATACTATTAGACAGAACATGTGAATTTCTCTACAAAATGACATATTTTCTCGTTTTTAAGTTAAAGAATGATCGAGTTACAATCAATCCCAGAATTGTTGTACAACAACATCAGTGAAATCATGCATCTTTTAGCCGATAATCCGCTCTTTTCGAGTTTTTGATGTGGTTTCATCTGGCTAAGCAATGTAAACGTGAAAAATATGTCATTTTGTAGAGAAATGGACACGTTCTGTCTAATAGTAAGCTCAAAAAAGAATTTCAATGTACTTTACAGTTGGTAGGTTTTAGGAAAATCCGAAATTTCAAAGACCTATATCTCAGAAACCGTAGATAAACTATTAGAATCTCAGTTGATTCATATATTTTACAACGTGTAGAGTACGAAAATGCACATTGAGGTCAACAAAAATGGGAAAAACGTACATAAAAATAGCTTGGGAGACCATCAAAAATGCTTGTGAAAGATCGTTCTCAGTCGACTTACAGGAGCGATATGGATAATTACAATCTACACTTCTAGATAGAACTAATACGAGAAATCTTACACGCGTATTACTTTTGAGTGTAGAGTTCGGTTTGACGGTGAAAAACGCGTTTCATTACTACGGATTTTTATGATTTTCACCATCTTAGAACAAGTACAGTAGTTCTATGAATGAAGTAGTATCTATGAAATGAAGCATTTTGCAATGTTTTTAAATGAGATATTTTATTCCTTGTTGTCTCTAGTCTATACCCTAAACTAAAGCGCTCAGGCGTCTAGCTTTTGTCATTTCTGAGATAATTAGGCGTGAACTGTGTCTTGGAACTTATAAAATCCTCAAATGTCGGATCTCCTAAAAACCCGAAGCCAATGTTTTAAAAATTTTTAAATGACGCATTCTTGCTCAGAATTCAATGCTGTTTCAAATGAGATATGTCTTGATTGTTTTCGGCAAACCTTCCTGTAAGGTGTGTGAGCACCGCCCCCTGGGTATTTTTCTGTTAGTAAGTGTTTATCATTGTCTGATGAGTCATCAAATATGTAAAAAAATTGTATGTAGTAGAATGGTATAAAGAATAAAACATTTCTATGGAAGAACAAAATTGCACTATTTACATTGGACTGAAATTTTAAAAAGAAGAGAGAAGAAAGAATCATTATTGACGCCGATAATGATAATGCTGGAAGAATAGTCAAAATAGAAAGTAGAACGTCATAAGATCTTCCATTATTTGATTAAAAAAACATTTCACTGAATCACAATAACTTTTATCAACACAGAATTTTATATATAATGGCGCATAGCGTCCATGAGCCTTCTTGGGCAGCAGGTTAGTAATTGTTCTAGGACAAATGAGGATAGCGATTATGTGTTATAGGTAATGTAATCAGTTATCGAGTGCCTAAATCTTCTATTTTATAATTAAATTTTTTCTATTTTAAAAAAGTAAAAATCAAGTAAAGACCAATGAATTTATTACATAAAACTTACAAGCTCAATTTACAACTTACAAACTCAATTACTAAAATTGACTAACGCGCACGAGTCAAAAAAAGGTGACTTGAATCGAGCCGCCAACCTCTGCGTATCACACAGGAAAAGTATCTTCAGATGATTCTTTCTCTTTTAGTGTCACATGTGACTGAGAGCACAAAACAGCTTATCTTTAATCTTGAATCTTTCACAAAATTCTCCACAACACGATAAGAAATTTTAATCTATGACACCAACATTTAGGATAACTGCGTTTAATCTGAACTGTCCATAGTGATCCATATACTAGTAGCAGTCTCATTTTATTCATTAAATTTTCATCGTGTTAGCGCTCAGAGATAGCTCAGATTTATTCTCAGCTCAGAGACAAGTGGCCTATAGGTAATCAATCATGTTGAACCTTGTGAGGATTTGTTTCTAGAAGATATAAAGTATTATCAGACAACTTTCTTACCCGTAATCGACTGAAACACAATATAAGACCCGCTTAGTATTTTATTATTTGAGGACAAAGTAGAAGACTTAAGTCTTTTATTATGACAATTCCTTTAGGTCGATATCATACAACAAGTAATTATATTTTTTCTCAGGAACAGAATTGCCTAAACTTGCGCTCTCTCGTCACGTTCACGATATAACTCGTGCTGCATTTTATCGGCATGTGACCAGTATAATATCACTTATTAATTATTACATTTATCTATCTAGAGAACCCTAGGACACCGACAGCGATCGAAATGGAAGAAATAATTACAACAACTGAAGAGCGCGACACAGGGTTAATTGACAATTTGATGATATTGGAACCTGGAAACGATGTTCAGACGCGATTAACTCAACAAGTGATGAAATCAACAGAAGATGAACAAGAATCTGAGTCTGAAGATTCTATTTTTGCTACGTGTTTGATCTGCCGTGTGAGGCATGTTACTACCTGTCTTCTTTATAAACAGGAACGCGATAGATATAGTTGTGGTCACGCATTTTGTTTCGAATGCGTCAAGATCCTTATTCAAAACGACGATGTCTGTCCGTGTTGCCGAAACCCGATCATAAACTTTATTCATATAAACGTATGACAAACTCATTAGCGCAAAATCGACTTTTTATACGGAGAAGAGAATCGGTTCAAATTTTTTTTCTGAAGAGCTTATTCTATGAATCGATGATCAGCAAAGTATCTCTTGATTCAAATCACTTTTCGCATTTTGGCGCGAATAGTGGTGCCACTTAAAACGCCCTACTATTCGCGTCAAAATGCGAAAAGTGATTTGAATTTAGAGATACTTTGCTGACCATCGATTCATATAATAAGCTCTTCAGAAAAAAATTTGAACCGATTCTCTTCTCCGTATAGAAAGTCGATTTTGCGCTAATGGATCAGTAATATGCTCCTGAAGGTAGAGCGAATGTAAAAGTTCAACCTTTGGAAATATATTTGAAAGTATATTTTCGTTATTTCATACCTTTGAATGATGATCATCTGCTGCCGTCATATACTTGTTCACTTCTTTTTAATAAAGTTAAAATCATTTCTCTCAAAAATGTTTGGATTCATTATACAGGCATTGTCTAAAAGTCTCTACTTTTTTCTTTTATACTATGCAATGCTTCATTTGCATTGAAGTATTTTTTTTATTGTCTAATAAAGTTTGATTTATGATGGAGAAATCATGTTTGGCTTCATGGGTCATAAAATAAATGATCTTACTTTTATGTATATCCGTCCACGCAAGTAATAAATAACGTTAATCACATTCTCTGATATAAGGATCCCGCACGTTTTCGGCCCTTTTCTGATGTCTAAGAGCGAAGCTATGATTATATGTTATATAGATAAGGCACACAACTACAAGTTATCTTAACATAAAATCAAATTGTCTTTCTTTCGTTTTATTTATATATTGGCTCAAAAATACCATAATATAAAAAAATGCTATCAATCCAGTTTTATGTTTTAAAAAATTGTTTTCTCTATTTTTTTCAATTGTTTATTAATTTGTTTGGTCTTTATATATTTTTTATAACTTGTTCCGTTGTTTTTAGATTATTAGTAACTTGAAAATCGCTACTGTGGGCGAAACGTCGTTCACTAATAAATCGTTTTTAAAACCAAAAACAACAAAAAACCGACGAAAGAAAGACAATTTGATTTTATGTAAAAATAACTTGTAGTTGTGTGCCTTATCTATTTAGCATATAATCAATGCTTCCCTCTTAGCCATCAAAAAAGGGCCGAAAACCCCCCCAAAACGTGCGGGGTCCTTATATTAATATTTAAATAATAAATAATAAATTATAAATTATATTTTTAATATTTCTTAAAATATTTACTTGGTCTCGTAAAAATTATTATTTACAAACAACAGTTAGACGTTTTTATTCCAGCGTTCAACCTTCTTCAGTATAATACCAAAAATAAAATTCTAACATAAAATTAATAAAACAAAATGTATATATAGAAAAAATAATTTTCGTTTGCATTATAATGTGTACAGCAGATGGTAAATTAAATGAATGCAGTAGATGTTAAAGTCAATGTGAACGAGAATTATTTTTTGTATATATACATTTTGTTTTATGAATTTTATGTTGGAATCTTATTTTGTATTATCCTGAAGAAGATTGCACGTTGCTATCAAAACGTCTAACTGCTGATTGTAAATAAGAAATTTTACGAAAACAAAATATCTATTTTAAGAAATATTAAAAATATAAAGTATTTTATTGCGTCTTGCAGAGAAAGTTAAGGCTATCTCGATTAAATTTTATTAGAGTCATAAAGGAAGATACTGGTAAACTAAAAGAAAATCATCCAAGATTTTTGAAGATTTTCAGGAAGTCTCCTGAAAGCGCTGACAAACTGACTTTCCACTAACTGTGTGCTGTCAGTACAAATTTGAGACGAAAGGTAGTTGTAAAGAGACTAGATTGTAGAGCTTTTTTTCTTAAACTGAATATAAGAGAAGAAAAAATACTATTTTCGTCGAATATCTGTGGATTATATCGAAAACGAAGAGAGTGACAGCTTCATACAGCTTAAATTCCGTAAAACACAAGCTTTTCTCTTCGAGCGGAAGAATTTAATACGATTTTAGATGACTACAATAGCTTACAGAATAGAACATTCCCAAATCGTATCATCAAGTCCGAAAGAGCAGAATGACTAGTTTTTCGACTACAGTAATAGTTTTTTTAACTTAGATCTCGTTTGATAATATATTTTTTTACGTTAAAATAATTACATGATTTACGCATGTTTCCGAGTAGGGCGTGGACCGTAACCCGTTACTGTAACAGTAACAAATTTGCGTTACCGTTACTAGTAAAGGGTAGCGATTCAAGCGTTACTGATAACGGGTAAGCGTCTTTATTTGTAGCGGGTAACGGTCTGACTGTATTTGACTATCAAACAAAGTGAGTAATTTTGACTTGGGACGTGGACATGTGCTAGAAAAGTAGTACGAAAGCCTATTAACACTCTTTTTATAGGTTTTTGTATGTGCTCCTTTCGATGGCGTACAGGTTTTCTAGGTGGAAGAGCACGTACGAAAACCTATAAAAAGAGTGCTTAGAGGCTTTCGTGCTACCTTTCTAGCACATGTTCGTGTGCCAAGTTGTAATGAAATTTTCTTTTTATAATAGAGATGCAAATCTTTTTCCAGTTTCATATAAACTTTTATAAACAAAATATGGTTGAGCCATTTCTTTAAGACTTCAATCTGTCCTCCGTAAATTAGAGGGATATTAAATTAAATATGGTTTCGCTAGAAAATCGATAAAAAGTTATTCTGCTGACTTCTCTCTCTGACAGAACAATACAAGCTTGAGATTGTATCACTCTAATTATCTTATAGGCCACGCCGTATGCTCAGCAAGTAGCTATAAGGATTGATTGATAGAATTATATACTTGTTTTAGATTGGTGAAATATATAAGCAGAGATTGATTATATTCTCTCGCTCGTTCCACAATCATTTTTAATGTAAACGTGATCTGTCGTATTTCTGTTTTCTCCAAAAGCAGTCGATTGTTCAGCTTATTTCTTCTCGAGAACTTTTTGAAATCGGTTCAAAATTATACGAGCAAATACGCGCCCTGCCCTCATCAAATGAGGTATTCTCGATAATGTTGACACAGTCATTTACACAAGGACCGCCGGAAACCAATTCATGGAAAACACTCAACATAAACCTAGGGTGTATTCTAGAGACACAACATGTTTTTCCATAGAATTCCTAGAAACCTATTTCAAGAAATCATTGTGAAAAGCTTTCTGCTTATGGGATCATGCCTTCTCTTTGGAATGGCGAAAACTGCAACGTAGTTATGGATTTTTTAAGTATCAGCAAAAAAATTAAGTTCAGTACAACTTCTTCGAGTTTAATTCAAAGTAGCAACTGAGACTCTAAGTTCTCAAATTCTTGTGTTAATTATGAATGAATTTTTAGAACTAAATACAGAAATATTAACAATAAAATCATCAACTAACTACTTTTTGTGAAGTTCAACTTCACCACCAAAATGTTGGATAACTTCTTGTTGCTGGCAAATTATTGACAATTAATGCAATAAGTAACATAACTAGAGAGCCAGAAAGAACAGGTATTAGAATATATAAAAATCCAGCCATTGGTAAAGGTTGTATTTGTACGGCAATGAGAGCGACAGCACCACCAGGCGGATGAAATGTCTCGGTCAGCTGCATACAAACAATCGCACAGGCTACTGCCAATGCACACGCTACAAATGGTACATATTTGACAAGCATAACGCGCACAATACAACCAATAATGGCGCTAACAAGATGTCCACCGATAAGGTTTCGTGGTTGAGCTAATGAGGATTTGGGCGCTCCGAATAGCACAGTTGCTGTTGCACCAAATGAACCAGTGATAAATATCAACGCTTCCCTAAAGGATTAAGCGGTTGTTGTTCAGTTTTATTGATACTTTATTTAGGAAACATTTCAAAACTCAAATCGTCCGGTCTGCTCCTGTGTCGTTTCCAGCCGTTATGCAACAAAAACTTCAATTTCTTTTATAGTTTTATTTCAATTCTTTTGGTCGTAGGGTAGATATAAACATGCAGATATCTATTGATTTTCTTTCAGAAAAAAATGAATTGGATACCAAGTCCCTTTCTTCATCAGTTATATACCAGTGATGAAAAGTTACGACAATGTTCTATTCAGCCATGCATACCCAATAGACTACATTCCGCTTCACGAAATATACGACTGGGTAACAACCGACAGAATGGCACAGCGGCAAGTCAAGTGGCTTGAGTTTTGAAATGTTCCCTTACTTTTCTAACACATAATAGTGGAGAGTCGCAACTACTATAATACCAAGAAATGCACCAAGCCATGTCCACAAGTAGTCGTGCCACGGTAAACGCTTCGGTCGTGTTTCATTCAGACCGCGCCACTTATAAAAATAATTTTTCACTGTTTTTAGCAATGCTAACAGATTGCACCAATGATTCAAAGATTCTTTCATCTGCTGGATGCTTGTTTGTTGTTTAGTATTAAATGGAACAGCGGTAAATTCAATTACACTAACTCTTGACGGCTCCTGTACTTTTATGAGATTATGAGGTTCATCACCGATGTCTCTGTGTATACCTTGTTTTTCAGCGTGTTTGACGGGGTTATGAAATGAAATGAGCGTACTTGGCGATAGTACAGGTGTCTGACTTAAATTTTGACTGATTTCCTTTGAATACAGTGAATTAGAAAGTTCTTCCATAGAGATTGAGCGTAAATTGAAGCGTAATATAATGACTTATATTAGCAGATTAAATCAGTATTGCGACTCTTTTGACCTTAAAACAATAAGAGAAGGGATGAAAATAAGGTGGACTGAACAAAAACTTGTTACCAGTTGGTTATTTACTACTGACTGTGTCATTAGAAAATTTTGTGCTAGCTCCGCGCTGAGCCAAATCAGATAGAGATTGGGTGCCAGTTCTCGGTGAATCCGACAGCGACTTCCTTTTAATTTCATTCTGATTTCTTCTTTAGTGTCGACTAGTGGCGAAACTGTTTTATGAATTGCAAAATATTTATAATTTCAGAATCTCAGAAGTTTACAGTAACTATTCTCTCAATTGAATAATATTTAGAATTTCACAATTTGAGAATGTTAAAAGCACCGAACTTTAGAATAATGCTATTCTTAGAATTCGAAAATATTTACATTTTCAGAATCGCAGAAGTTTAGAAGCTCAAAAGTTTGGGAAGTCAGTATTGTTTGAATTTCGAAATATTCAGAGTTACAAAGTCTCAGAATTTCTGAATTGTATATTGCATAGTAAAGGAGAAAATGTCCGGTCTAAAATAATTCCGAAAAAAACAATTCGTAAGTTTTTGTTAGCATGCAGTATTTCATGTATTAACTCACACTCATCAAATTTTTTCAGCTTTTCAAATTGTTAAATTGCGAAATTCTAAGTGTTTGTAAATTCAGAAAAACGTGGGATCGTAAATTTCTCAGATTTGAAATTGTTGGAAGATTGGAAGTCTAGTATTCAAATTCAGAAATTTCGGAGTTTCTGAAAATTCGAAAAACTGTGAAGCTCTGACTTTCTTGAGATTCTGAAATTCTAGCAATTGTGAAATCCTGATTTTGTTGATTCCTGCAATTCTGGAATTCTTTTAGCAGTTTGAAATTCTGAGGTTCTTGCGATTGTGGAATTGTGAAATTCCTGAGATTCTGAAATTCTGGAGGTCTTGATTTTCAAGGGCTATTGTACGCGAGTTATTTTGAATTTCTCGTTAGCGTAGAATGTCAAAAAATTAATACTTTAGTCCTATAGTCATCCTTATACTGTACAATGATAATTTGACAGCTCTGGGAATTCCAAGAATTGCTCAAACCAACTAGATACATCTTCAAAGAATTTTTAACTTTTTCAAATTCAACAAATTGATAAAAAGTCACATTTTAAATTTTTGAATTTTTGTATTGTTTGAATCGAAAAAAATAAAATGTGTCTCTGAATTGTTGAATTCATGAATTCAGAAAAAGCTTGACGTTTATTTCTGAATCCTTGAATATTTCTCAAATTGGAAAAAGGCGATTCCAATTTCTGAAGTCTTGAATTAAGAAAAATTATTCTGAATTTTTGAAAATTTCATAAATTGAAAAAAACTCGATGCTAATTTCTGAATTCTTTCTGCTAATCTTGAAAATTTTATCAATATAGAGATGTATCAATTCACCTGGTCCTTACTCTTTTTACCTTGACCTCGTACATTGATGAAAAGAAGTTATTTTGTTCTTTTGGATCGGATAAATACTTGTTAGCAAAAATTTCAATACGTACTAAAGCGTTCTCTTCCTGCTAGTTTCTATCAGACTAACATTATATATTTTTGTTTTCGTATATTTTTTTAGCTAGCAATGGTGTCTTGAAAGGTACATTATCGGCAGATTCTATCACGACAAATGACACAGTTGGCAAACAATCTTCTTGCTAAAGTTCATTATCAAATATGTTACCAAAAATTGATCCAAACATATCACAATACACGTTAAGTGAGGTGACAAGGGTAGCTAAAAACGTTAGACAACTATTAACCGATGAAGATGAAAACGACGATCATGATTATTCAATACAAGGGTTAACATATGTTGGTAAGTCTGCTTGCTTTGAAAAGGCAATTATAATCTACCTAAATCTTAAGACTTTACTGTTTTGTAATCTGAGTCCTTAAAATTCCCTTCTAGCGTTTACTTTATCATCCATCTATACGTTCTTCCGGTGCAAAATTCAGTTGATGAGTCCTGCTGTCGCTGTTTGTTTTAGCCAAATTCTCTAGTTCCGCAGCATGACTTAGTGATTTGCGAATAGTTTACCAATATAGACAGTTATCTATATTACTGTCATTTGTAATTAGACTGCGACTGTTTTTTACTCATTTAGAGCTATCTAGATCGCCATTTAAAAGCCAAGAAAATACACATGAAACTCGTACAGAAACACTTTCAACTGAGTCCACTTTAGCAAAATTAACAACAGCAAACGACATAATGCCTAATCAACATAAATTTGGTAAATATTTTATATAAAAGTGAGCTTCTCTATTATTATAGTAACTCTTTCTTTTTTTCAGATATAAGTGAATCCGAAGTTAAATATTATTTAAATGACTGTGATCAGTTAAACAAATTAAAACGATCAAGAAGTGAACCTCTATCAGCGATAAAAGCATTGATACGAACGTCACATCGATTACGCGGACATCAAATAGAAAAGGACAAAACATTAAGTATTGAACAGAAAATAAACAAATATCCAGAATTATTGGATGAAAGAATGATATGATAATTCTTCCTTTTTCTCTTTTATATTCTTTTTTTATTCATAGATCGTCAGTGAATATGAAGAAATCACAAAGAAATCATTAGAAGAATTATTAGAATCATGTCGTCAACGACTGGATGCTTTAATACAATTTTACCAATTACGTCAAACAAAATCAACAACAGTGAGTCTTACACTGTAAAGGAGAAAATTATTTATAGAAAATCCTCGATTTTACAGTGTTATAGAAATTCATATTTATGGAAATTGTCTAACAGTTAGTAAATTTGTATCTAACAAACGTTTTTATTTAGAAAGTAAAACTAGATTGGTTGGCTTTAAATAAATTGTGTGAAGATGTTAGCAAAGAGCTGTCTGATGAAAATTTGTACAAAGAAAAGTTACTATTTAATGTAAGAGCTATTAAAAAATTATGCTACAACAAACTCTTATTTTTCGCCTTTTAAAGCCTAGGAACGGATTGCCACAAGAACACTTAATATCTGTTTAAATGAAATAATTTTTTCATAACTTCTAGGGACGAACTTAACTTTTAACTTCATACATCTCACATTTTCCTATCATGCATCCGTTGAAGAAAGTGTGCCATCACAACACTAAAAGTGTAGCAATGTCACACTTTTATGCAGAGAAAACGTCTGATATCATCCAGGTTTTACCCAACCAATAGAAAAGCGATGTCACAGTTTAAGTGTTATTTTTGGTATCCCGAGTATGACATTGTCGCGCTAAAAGTGTGTCATCATCGTCTTATTGGTGATCGTATTCTAAACGGTAATGGCACACTTTTAGCGTGACTTTTTGAT